GAATTGAACTAAGTAGGGAAATATATATACGAAAGATATTTTCCCCCCTGGTAACACTGTTTAGTCATTTATTGCTGTGAAATCTCGAGTGAAAAATCTGAAGCTTGATTCTGATAGATGGCTTAAATTAAACTCATGTGGTAAAAATTACCCAGTGGGATCATCAGAATAGAGCTAACTTTGTTTAAAAGCTCTGAAATGATCTGGCACCCATAAGGAAAAAAAAAACACAAAAAACCAAAATGATAAAACTCACTAATTAGGAAACTTATAAAATATTATTAAAAGAAATTTTAAAAGGTGTAAATAAATTAAGTAAATAAATGGATGACTGAATATCCTAAAGATGCCCGATAATTGTACATTGGCCATAACTCAAAAACAATTCCAATCAAAATTACAACATTTTTGTGTGTGAACTTCACAAGCTGACTCTAAAATTTGTATGTTAGAGTGAAGGACAAGCACAGCCTAGAAGCTTCTGAAGAAGAAAAAACTGCCTTTATTTCAAAAACTATTACTAAAATATACCAAATGACCAAGATTTTATTATTTCAAGGAAAGACCAATAAAACTAAAGAGTGAGCTCAGAAATAAACATGTACCTAACTTAAGACACAAATCGTGTTGCACATGTGAGAGGGAAGATAGTGGACTTTTCAGTAAGTGTTCTAGGACAAATTATTAGTCATTTAGGAAAACAATAATAAAAAGCAGACTCTTACCCAATCATTATATATAATGTTAAATCTGGGTATGTCAAAGATATAAAATAAAAAGCAAAACTACACTCTATAGGATAATATCTTTATGCCCTGCATAAAGGTAGAGTTTGATTAAGCAAAACACAAAAAGTGCAAACCTCAGATGAAAAGATTAGTAAAATGTATTAATCTATCAAAACTTCTGACTTCTGACTATCAAAAGTCAATGTAAAGGAAGTGAAAGGAGAATTGCACACGGAAGATGATATTTGTCAATATATACAAAAGGCAAATGATTAATCAATGTCCAAAAGATAAAAATAAAAAGAATTCACAATCTATAAGAAAAGAAGAAATAAATAACCAACAGAAAAGATGAGGAAAAGTCTTAATAGATAATTCACAGAAAGGAAATTTGATCAACCAATGAAAGATGTCCAATCTGATAAGTAATTACAGAAATGAAAGTTAAAAACCACAGTGGCAGTCATTTATAACTCAGTACAGTGGGGAAAAAAATGTTTGTTAACTAGAACATTTACATCGTACTTCTGGTAGGTACAAATTGGTAGAACCATTATGAAAGCAATTTGGCATTATCTTTGTACTCTTTTGTGCTTTTGGCTTTGCATTTTTTCCCATAAATTTAAGGAAATAATCAAATATTTATTTTGTCTTTCTGCATGCACTGAATTCTGTTTTAGGGTAACCAACTAAGTGATGAGGAAAAGTTATTCTCTATGGAAGAATTCTAGCTAAATAATGCAGAATGAATTCTAGAATTAGAGAATTACCATTATACAACCCTTACTAAAAACATTTAGGTAGCTTTTGTTATTGTATGCTAAAACTATTTGAGTGAAACAATGGGGAACTTTATAGTGGAGTGATCAGACTGACAGCACCTGAACTCACTGATCAAGCTCACAGAGCTTCACCTATTAAAAATGGTTACCTTAAAAAAAAATTGAAATTGGATTTTATCAAGCCAGTTGACAGGAAATAGAAGGATAGAGGTAGGATGTAAAACAACAGCGTGTTTTGAAGTGATCAGTCACATTTTGAATATGAGACATTTCTTGGGATAAATGACATGGCTTCTCCATCAAATCAACAGCAGAAAAAAGTAAAAAAGAAGGAAGGGACTGTTATATAGTAAAAGAATTACAGAAGATAGAATAAGAAAACACAATATTATTTGGATTTTGATGTGGTCAAATCAACAGTGAAAAGATAACTTTAAGACAATCAATGAAATATGAATAAGGACTAACTAGGCATTAAAGGATATTAAGGAATTATTTGTTAGGTATTTTCTGTTAAAATGTTATCAGATTCATGCTGAAATATTAGTATGAACAATTCATATAGGTGAAATGACACATCTTATATTTGCTTTAATATAAACAAAGATGTTAAGGTTATAGAATCTGGTATTTTTAGTAACTTATTAGTTATGGAGGGGTGGTAGAGAGGAAGAGGTCTAGAATAACATCTGGATTTTGACTTGGGTTGCAAGGGCGGTGCATTAGCCAAGGTGGGAGGATACAGAAGCAACAGAAAACTACAGAGATTAAGGTGAGTTTAATTTTGAAAATAAGTTTTAGGTGCTAATGGGATACACAGAAGGTTCTCTGAAGTAAGCAGTAGGGTAACTGAATATGAAATAAGAAGAACAACTCCTATCTAGAAAAGTGTTCAAATCACCCAGGAGAACATAAGAATGAATGGTAGGAAACGAAATCTAAGGATGAACTCTAATGAATGCCAACGTGTATGAAATAAACAAGGGGAGAGTTCAGTGAGGGATTTTGAAAATAAAAAGAGTATTTGAATAGTTTTGAGAAGAAAGAATTACTCAGCATAATGATTAATCAACACTAATCAAATACTGTAGAGAAGTTAAGTAAGAGAAGAACTGGAAACAGTCCATGGGATTTCGAATTTGGCAGTCACTGGTGATGTTAGCAGGAGTCGTTCCATTTGAATAATGGTGGCACACAACTAATTACCATGGGTTAGCGCTTACATGAGAAGTGAGAATTGGAGACACTTGTTATTTTGAGGAGCTTAGCTGAAAACTGAAAGAGAGGCAGTGCAAGAGTTGGAGTAAAAAAAGGGATTTTTAATAGAAATAATCTTTTTTTAATAGGAATGGATTCTCTTTTTTTAATAGAAATGGCTTCAGCATTTTAGAGGCAAGATAAAGGAGTCAGTTGAGAGTGAGTTTGGGAATTTTTAAAAACAGGGGGAACAGATGAAATATAGCTTCAGTGGAAAGATGGATGGAAAGCATCAAACACAAGTTGAATAAATTAGCTCTAAACAGAACAAGTAGTTATTTTTTCTCTGAATCTGTAAAAATTTTGTGAGACTAGATGCATGTTATAAAGGAAATATTTCACTTGATAAGAATGAACTATTATTTTTTTCAAGAAATGAATCTAATTCTTTTTTTTATTATGTTAATCACCATACATTACATCATTAGTTTTTGATGTAGTATTCCATGATTCATTGTTTGCGTATAACACCCAGTGCTCCATGCAGTACGTGCCCTCTTTAATACCCATCACCAGGCTAACCCATCCCCTTACCCCCCTCCCCTCTAGAACCCTCAGTTTGTTTCTCAGAGTCCATAGTCTCTCATGGTTCATCTCCTCCTCTGATTTCCCCCCCTTCATTTTCCCCTTCCTGCTATCTTCTTCTTCTTCTTCTTTTTTTTTTTTTACATATAATGTATTATTTGTTTCAGAGATACAGGTCTGTGATTCAATAGTCTTACACAATTCACAGCACTCACCATAGCACATTCTAAAAGCAAAGGTGCAGTCATCTAAGGTCAGGCCTATGTTGTTTCAGAAATGTCACCAGAAAAAAGCCCAAGTCATTCTTAGGGCATATATTCCCTCATGGTTCTTGGGGAAGTTTAGGTCTTGCTGTGTTAGAAGAATGTGTGCCAGTTTGCAGGAAATTGGCCCTCCGAGAGGTGGGCTAATGGACAAGATAGCATGGTGGTGTGCCAGGAGTCAGGAGAAGTCATATTCTGAACATGGATGGAGGGCCAGAACAGAATTGTGACTGAAAATAATCAGAAGGGCACTCTGAGGGGAACTCTGGCTAGTGAGGAAGTCTGTTTTGGTTGACAAAGAGACAGATCAGTTGGTAGTTTGTATGTTTAGATTCAATGTAATCTGTGATTTGTGAGGCAAATCATACATTGAGAGGAGTCAGTGTCAGCAGCTGACAACAAAGATCTTGAGGGAGTGGTGAAGAGTTAGTATATTTTTGGATATATTTTAGAATATTTTTGGATATCCACACCTTAATGAAATTTCCTAAAATTTCCTCCAGCAGAACCCAAGAATTCAGTTACAGGTGCAAAAAAAAAAAAAAAAAAAGTCCTTATCAATCTACCTTTGAAGCTAGCAGGATAGATACAGCCAAAGCACAAAAAGAGATTATTACAGAGAGAAGTTAAATGACATGCCATGCATCTAGGTGGGATCAGAAAAAGGGTAGGTCCATTAAGGTGGTGATGGGTTAAGAAGTCTTTAGATAATAGCAATAAGGATGGATAAAAGACAGCAGGATTGTCAAAGGAGGAGAGTGTTGCTACAAGTGTCGAATAATCTGGATATAGAGGACAGTTCAAGTAGAATGCTGCTACCACTTCTGGATTCTATGGAAAGTAAAAGATAGAATTTAAAAATTAGCTTGAGACCTACTACCAAAGGGATAGAAGGGTTGATCTGTGAATAAACTGACAGTACAGAGCAGATCATATGTGATAGGATGAGGTCTCCAGAGGAAGGGGTAGGGGTCAATAATAAAAAGAATGATGAGTGGGAAGGAATCCCAGAATAGGCCAGTAATGAGAGTAAATGAGGGCATGCTAGTCAAAAGCTTGTACTTTGGTTGGTGACCAAAGAAGAGAGGGGGGAGAATGTGTTAGGTGGACTGTTCTTGAGGCTCCTAAGCAGACCAATTCCCAAGTGGTCCAAGACCCTTATGAGATTAGCCATTTTTAGGCTCTACTTATCATTTAAAAGTAATGTCACTGGGAATTTACTTACCTCATCTCTGAAAAGTTCTCTTCCTCAGACTGTTGATGGAAAAAGTGCATCTATGTTCATCGCCCATTTAAATTTTTTATTCAAGCCACTCTTACCACATTCCATATACATATGTCTATTCCACTCTAGGCACCATATAGAACATAAAATAAGAATCTTTTACCATTCCTCCGAGGAGCTTGTTCTCTTACTGAAGGTGTGAGAAATACACACAATTTACCTCATATCTGCCGGTTTTGGAAGAAGTCTTTTTTTTCCACTAAAGTAAACTTCAAAATCTTCGATCTTTAGCCTGTGGGCATAGTCAATGTATCCTGATATTTCCTGCCCATGAGAATTTCTGTCACGAATAAAGATCACGGTCTGGTAGCACACACACAAAAAGATGGAGAATGGAAAGAATAAATGAATAAAAGTCATTTGAATATATTGCATATGGTAATAAAAGCTACAGTTTTTGAGTATTACATGTGCCAGACCCTATTTTAAGTGCTTTACGTTTCACCCTCACCATGATCCTATGAAGTAAGTATGATTATTTACTCCTGACAAATGAAGAAATTCATGAAAAGTTAACTGTGCAGGTATATAATGTGCATTTACAGTAATTTTATATGACAATATCAATAAATAACTTACAGAGGTCTTCCAAAGGGCAGACATTATTTTAAGTGTTTGCAGTACATTAATTTATTTCCTTTTCTCCCAATCCTATTGTCTTCTCTTTGTCATAATTTCTTTAAATAAGAAAACTAAGGAACAGAGAGGTTAAGTACCTCACTCAAGGTCTCACAGCTAGTAATGGAAAAATTGAGATTAAAGCCCAGGCTCATGTGTTTGTCTCTCTAATCACTACATCATTTTTCCATCTCAACTCCTATGTATTTTCTGTTATAGGGATATAAACTGGTCCCTTCTCATTACCATGAGAGTAAAAAAAATCTCTTTATAAAATGAAAATCTCTTTATAAAGTCACCTTACAAATTAAGTCCATAAGTCAAAATAAACAGCAAGTACATATTTCTCATTCATATTAATTCCAGCACAAATATCATTGTGCACCTAGGCATGTTAGTTACTGTTGTAGGTGCTAAGGATATAAGACAGCAAGCACCCTGGCCTCTCAGAACGTGTGCTTTGGTGAGGGGAGACAGATGAGATATGAAAAGGAAAAAAGTACTTCCAGTGAGTGATAAATGCCACAAAGCAAATAAAAAACATGGTTGACTAGACAATGAAGTCATCAGAGAGGGAGAAAAACCATGAGAGACTCTTAACTCTAGGAAACAAACAGGGTTGCGGGAGGGGAGGTGGGTGGGGGGATGGGGTACCTGGGTGATGGGCGTTAAGGAGGGCACGTGATGTGATGAGCACTGGGTGTTATACACAACTGATAAATTATTGAACACTACATCTGAAACTAATGATGTAATATATGTTGGCTAATTGAATTTAAATAAAAAATTAAAAGGAAATAAAGAACATGGTTGACTAGAGAATGAATTGTTGGTGGTGAAGCCTACTTTGGGTAATCAGAAAAGACCTTGAGGAGGTCTTTTTTTAATTTTCATTTAATTTTTTAATTTTGTAATTTTTTAAAATTTTAACTTAAACCAACACTTGAAGCTTGAAGGATGAGAAAGAGTCAGGCATGTAAAGATCTAGAACAGGGGCCTATCAGGTGAAGGGAACAACTGGCACCAAGGCCCCTAAGTGGAAACCAGCTCAGGCAAATCGAAGAATTGTTGTCTTTTCTCTATCAAGCCAACAGACATTGATCTCGAGTTCTAAGAGAAAAACAAAACAAAACAAACAAACAAAAGAAAACCTATTGTAACTGGGAAAGTTCTTAATGTCTTTATTTCCAGATCTAGTTCAAAGTGCAGAATTTCATGGCAAAGTTCTACATTTGGAAGAAACTGTCAACAAGCCTTCCTTTTTCTCTCCAGCAATCACTAGATGGTTACTTGCTAGGTCTCTGTGTAGTCAATTACAGGAAGCACTAACGTGGGTTACCTTAACAGAGCTTCCAAAAAGGTGAACTGAGAAAACAAAGAATTCTTTTCCCCTCTGCACTTGAGAAAACATGTTGCTAACAGTGTCCCAATTGAAAAACACAAGAACAAGCCACAAGGTACTGTTAGTTGTTATTTTGCTAAATTGCATCTTCCTGCCTCCTGTGGTTGTTTGGCACTGGGTGCTGAAGATACCGTGCTGAGAAGGATTCTGAGGCATGTCCTTGGCTTAAGGAGAGGAAGGGTGGTGATGGCTTAGTGCCATTTCCCAAAGATATGGCTCAGGGAGCTAGCATGGTCATTTCTGTGCTCAGTCTTACGTAGATTCGGTCCTCGGTTCTTCTCGTTTCCACCACGTAATGACAAGTTAAAATTCTATAGATTTCTCCATGCTTTCAGCCACATAGTTTTTAGCTTTTACAGCACAAATTCTAAAGGGACAGTAACTCAGAGACTTCTTGAGACTCTTACACTACTAAACCCATACTGAATATTGCCATCCCGGCTTAATCAAGGCCACGTGCTAGAACTATCAAAGTTTCATATGCAGTCCTAAAGGTACTTGAAATCTTTATTCCATCAAGGCTGCTCCTGATGTTAAGGCAAGTCACGCAGGCACATAGAGGAAAAAAGTTCCCAAATAAGTCCTCTACTTTTAAAATGGAACTCTATTTTTAAAGATTTTATTTATTTACTTTTTAGAGTGAGAGAACATGGGAGGAGGAGCAGAGGGGGGAGGGAGGTGGGCGAAGAATTTTAAGCGGACTCAGAGCTGAGCGCAGAGCCCAGCACAGGCCTTGATATCATGACCCTGAGATCATAACCTGAGCCGAAACCAAGAGCTGGACACTTAACCAACCACCCAGGCAAACCTAAAATGGACCTCTATTAACAGAAAAAGAAAAACAAACAAACAAACAAACAAAACCTCCTGTCTGCCTCTGTCTCTGTCTCTTTTTAAATGAGATGGACCAGCCTTATTTTTTCAGCAGAATGGCACACCAAATATTGTAAATGATCTTCCTGCTGAAAGCAAAAATAAATTCTGGATAAAATCTAAAAAGCAACTTGTAACATGCATTGATGCACTGTCAAGAAAATGAGGAATACTTAGAGTCTAAAAACGAAGTGAAAATAGATTCCCAGAAAGGAAAGCAGAGCCCTAGAGCCATCTTTGTCCTGCAGGCATATGCCCAACCACAGGGAATCTTAGCAAAGGTTTCATGATCTTGGCAGTTGGAGGTGACAGGAGACAAAATCCAGCCTTTCAGGTAGAGAGACTAATAGGACTTACTGCGTCAACATAGGGCAGAGAAATCAAAAAAGGTTGAAAACAATCTGTAATGTGTCCAGAGAATAGAAGAGTGATTCCAAAATTATAAACCCAGAGAAAATATCTTTCTAGTGAGCAAAATATAGATATATTCAGACCAAAAAATGAGAGCCTTGACTGATAAAAGACTCTTACTCAAAGAAATCCTAGAGGATGTACAGCTGACCCTTGAACAACATGGGTTCAGACTACATGGATCCACTTACATGTGGATATATTTTTTTTTCTTTTTTTTAAATTTTATTTTGTTATGTTATGTTAGCATACATCACATCATTAGTTTTTGATGTAGTGTTCCATGTTTCATTGCTTGCGTATAACACCCAGTGCTCCATGCAATACGTGCCCTGCTTAATACCCATCTGGGCTAACCCATCGCCCCACACCCCTCCCCTCTAAAACCCTGTTTGTTTCTCAGAGTCCATAGTCTTTTATGGTTCATCTCCTCCTCCTATTCCCCCCCTCCATTTTTCCCTTCCTACTGTCTTCTTCTTCTTCATACAGTATAGCACTGTAAATGTATTTTCTCTTCCTTATGATTTTCTTTTCTTTAGCTTACTTTATTGTAAGAATACAGTATGTAATACATACAACATATAAAATGTGTTAGTTGACTGTTTATGTTATCAGTAAGGTTTCCAGTGAACTATTAGTAGTTAAGGTTTTGAGGAGTCAAAAGTTATATGCAGATTTTTGACTCTGTGGTAGGGTTGGTACATTTAACCCTTATATTGTTGAAGAGTCAACAGTACTTCAGCCAAAACAAAGTGAATCTAACTGAAAGGTCAGAGATAAAGAATAGAATGATAATCAAAGAAAGTAGTAAATATATAGAAAAATATATAATGTAATGATAGTGTTATGGACTGAATTGTGTCCCCTCAAAATTCCTATGTTGGAACCCTATCCCTCAGTATCTCAGAGAATGTATTTGGACATAGGGCTTTTAAAGAAGTTATTAAGCTAAAACAGGCCCATTAGTCCCTAAGCCAATCTGACTCTGTAAGGAGAGGATATTTGGACACACAGAGAGACATCAAGGGTTTGTATGCAGAGGAAAGACCATGTAAAGACACAGTGAGAAAGGGGTACCTGCAAACCAAGGTGGAAGGTTTCAGAAGAAACCAACCTTGCCGACTTTGACATCTTGATCTATCTTTGACTAATGGCTTCGATAATTGTGAGAAAATAAATTTCTGTTGTTTAAGCCACCCAGTATGTGGTATTTTGTTATGGTAGCCCTAGAGAACTGATACACATGGTAATAAATTAAAATAATTAAGTATGTACAATTAGTGTAAATGGCCAAATGTTTAAGTTGAAAAACAAAGCTTCTTAGAGTGGGTAAAAAAAAATATGATACAAAACTTAAGGTTGAAATTTAACTGATGAAATAATATACATAAGGAAATGTCTGTCCAAAAAAGAGCTGGCATCAGCATATAGGTATGAGACAAATGAGCTCAAAGGCAAAAAGCATTCCTACAGATGGAGAATCACTAGCTAATGATAAAAGATTCAATTCACAGAAAGAGCAGTTATAAACTTGAATGAACCTTTGAAAACATAGCCTCAAAAATTGATATAACTGGGGCACCTGGGTGGCTCAGTTGGTTAAGCGACTGCCTTTGGCTCAGGTCATGATCCTGGAGTCCCGGGATCAAGTCCCGCATTGGGCTCCCTGCTCAGCGGGGAGTCTGCTTCTCCCTCTGACCCTCCCCCCTCTCATGTGCTCTCTCTCTCTCATTCTCTCTCTCAAATAAATAAATAAAATCTTAAAAAAAAATTGATAGAACTACAAGGATAAATAGACAAGTCATCATCACCATGGTAAATTTATTTCTTATTAAGTTTTAGATCAATGATAAATTCCATAATTATTATATAGTTAATATACATTGTAAGGAATTAAAAACACAAGCTTGAGTGCTTGGTTTTTACCTTAGCCAAGTACCCAAACATCTTTACTCTTCAGTGTCTTGTGGATAAAATGACTGATAGTGTAAAATTATATGTGTATATATATATATATAGCCACAATTTCACTATTTTACAGTATTATATACAGCCTTCCCATATGAGTTAAAGCCCATTGTCTATGGGAATCTGTAAATTACCTCAAATCTCACTTCTCCAGCCTTGTGAGAGTTAAATGGATGCTCTGTGATTTTTGTGAATCTAGGGGTTTTCTGAAGCTAGAGAACTTCAAGTCAGGCCAAACTGAGTATAAGCAGGGGTTCTTCCAGGTTCAATCTATGTCCTTGGGTGTGTTGTTCAAATTCTTAACTCCTCTCTATATTCATAAGTCCTATGCCCCTAAGTAGGGTCCTGCAAAATCTAGCAAGTTTCTACCAAACCGAACTAAACACCTCCAAAACAAAGAAACAAACAAACAAAACCAAAATAAACAAGAGACCAAAATCCTGCTTGGACCTAAGCATTTAGTTAGCTAAGCCTTCTTGTAGCCTCTCCCTTCTTCCCGTTTCTCCTTCAGCTCTGTAGAGCAATAAAATAATCTCTTCTGTCTTGCATGGAATCGCTCAGCTCATAGTCAGGTGTTGTCAGAGCCTTGCCTTCTGCCCTATGAACCCAATTTGTAAGCAATATGCAAATGCTCTTTCTTTCTCAATGGGGAGAGTCTAGTAATCATTGTATCTATAATTTCTTTTATTTTCAGTAGAAACAAATTACTTCATTGATGTCTTTCCAAGTATGGCTACTTAGGTGTAAAAGTATATTGTGAAAGACTTTTTAGTAAAATTAAAAAAAATTGCTAAAATAAAAAAAAATTCCTAACAAACAACATCCTTCTTGAAACTATTTTAAAAAATTGATTAGAACTATTGATGTGTAGTAATTGGTGATAGACTGTCAGGAAATTACAACTCAACATTTAACTTTAGAAATACATCATTATAAAAACACGGTGTAGGTGACAGGAAAAAATAATGAAACAGAAGAGGTAAGAGGTAGTTGTAAAGTACTTGATGGCTGGTTGAAATCTTTTTTTTTTTTAAGATTTTATTTATTCATTAGAGAGAGAGAGAGACAGAGAGAGCACAAGCAGGGGAAGAGGCAGAGGGAGAGGGAGAAGCAGACTCCCCACTGAGCTCGACATGGGGCTTGATCCCAGGACCTGGAGATCAAGACCTGAGCCAAAGGCAAACGTTTAACCATCTGAGCCACCCAGGCACCCCAGCTGGTTGAAATCTTATTGTATCTTGTTTGTATTTTATTATATGGATTATCCAAGAATTAGAATTTAGTTAACTAATACTCTTAGTAATTTTAATATATTCATTTATCAAATGTATATTTTCTTCTAAAGTGAATCCTAATTACCCCTACTATTAATACTACTAGGTATCATTTATTAAGTAGCCATTATGTTCTGAGCCAAATATTAGGAGCTTTATATTCATTACCTTATTTAATTCTCTCAAAAATATATAATGGTTAGATAGCATTATTATCCTCATCTTGTAAATGTAGACGCTGAAAGCATTGAGAATAACCACCTCAAAAGACATGCAGCTAGAGAATGGGGCAACCACACTCACACCCAGGGTGCCTTCCCATGAAGTCCATGTTTTTAACCACTCCACAATGGACACACAGACTAGGATCCAAATGTTGGCCCTGCCATCTACTTACTTTGTGACACTGGTACATTCATTATCCTTTGTAAGATTCAGTTTCTTCTGTTACACAATGGACATAACACCTGCTTCTCAGGGTTCTTGTGTGAATTGAGGCTGTTTTTGCTAAGCACTTAACAATGCCTGGCACATGGTAAACACTCAGTGAATATTATCTATTGCTTTTTAAAATTTTTATTATTACTGTTGCTATTGTATTTATATTATGTTAAGAGTTTTATCAGTTCCTTAGGGATAAGGAAATGGAATACTCATATCGGAATTCCATTGCCTGGGTGTGTATAATTATGTTGCTGGACATGGTTCAATTCATTTGTTACGTTCAGCATTCTCAGTTAAAATTTTGGATGTATTTTGAAGTTAAAGTTTAAACAATTTTCTAGGTATTATTGTATACATCCAGGATGGACCCAACTGGCAATAAAGCCATGATTCTGACATCCAGAATGGGCAGAATAGGCTAAGAGAGCCCTTTGAAGAATTAGGTTTATTTCAGCCCAGGTGTGATGTATTTTAGTAATTGCAAGCTTTCTTATGTGGAGCCCTGTATTGTGTCACTAGGAATTATAAAATGTTATAAATAATTGTTTTAAGTTTCTCTAATAACACTTGCTTTTTTAAACAAAATAACAGCTTTATTGAGGTATAGTTTATAAACATAAAATTTATCCTCAAGTTTTAAATGTATAGTTCAACGATTTTTAGTAAATTTGCAGAGCCGTGCAACACAATACAGTTTTAGAATATTTTTATCACCCCAAAGAGATCCCTTGTGCCCATTTGCCGTCATCCCTGTTCCCACCACCACCCCCAGGCAACCACTAATCTACTTTCTGTCTCTATAGATTTGCCTTTTCTGGATTTTTCATATAAATGGAATCATACAATATATGGTCTTTTTCATTCTAATAACATTTTTTTTTATCACAGTTAATTTCCCAGGAGATACATGAAAACTATAAAGGCTCTTTTAAATGATAATGTTATGTTTATAAAAAGGCAGACTTCCAAAACGCTCACTGTCCTTAGATAAAATCTTTTAATCCTCTCTAGAATAAGTCAAAGTATAACCAACACAAGTATTTCAGCAAATCAGATGATATTTATTTGAAGCCATGAATATTGGTTTACATTTATTTGCAACCTAGGCAGAAAATACTAGTTTTTGTAACAACAACAAAAACACAAAAACAAGCCTTTGATAGATATCAAGATACAAGTATTCCTGATATTGAAGCAGGGGCTCAGACACCAAGGAAAATGTGGAATCTGAGATTTTACTGAGATGTCTATGACCTCAAGTGTGAACCAGTGTTAGTTGAAAAGACTTATGGAATGCCTAGTTAGGTCCACATTACTTCTCATGTGCTGGGAAAAGATGAATTAAAGTACAATTTAGACCATTAATATATCATTTGGATCTCTGGCTGCTTGTCTTTTCCCAGAAGTGGATTAAAATACAAATTCATAAACTTGTTATGAGTTGAGTACATGTGTTGCCTGATTTTTCTTGCCAAACACTAATGAGGAGACATAAACCTGATACATTGAAATGGGACTTTTTCAACAGTGAAGCCAAAGTCACTTGGGGAAAAAAGAAAAGGCGTAGTAAGCAGTATGTTGCTAAAACTGAAACATCCATTTCAGGGAGTGAGAGCTGTCACACAAGCTAAGTTCTTGTGCTATCCTTTTGAGACTGTCAGTAGGCTCCCTGATGGAAACAAACGAAGAAAGAATTTTTATCTCCTATAATTTTAAAACTCTTGGAATACTTTCATGAATCATTAGTTTTAGGGAATCCTCTTTTCCTTTCAGAAGAGAAATGATTTTGCAAATGGAGTCCAAGTTCTGACAATTTTTTGTAACATTTCAAAACGTGTCCTTATCCATTTCTCTAAAACAAGTTACTTTCTGAAATTCTTTATGCTGATAATTATTTTAAAATTCTATATCCTTTTATTCAATTGCAATTCGACACATATCTTTTTACTTATACACACAATACTCAGGGTTATGTTTAAGAAAGTTCTTTGTCCTTCGTGTTGAAGGCTTAGTTGGGCTCAGAACCAACACATTTTTCCTTCTGCATCCTGTTGGCCAAAGCAGGTCACAGGCCAACCCAGATTCAAGAGGCAGGGAGAGTGACTTCCCTTGAGGGAGGAGCTGCAGAAGTGTCATTGCAAAGGGGCTATATAGATAAAGGACAAAGTAGAGAATTGTGGTCTTTTTTCAATCTATAGTTACTTACCTTAAAGAACCTAGGAGTTAGGCAAGTAGCTGGTTTGTTCATTTTGTAAGTTGGAGATTTGATTTCTGAGGGAAATCATGGACTAATAACTTTTTTCTCTCCCAGTTTATAAAGCATATCCATATCTGAAAAGGCTTTTTTGCATTATCAGTGAGGTTAAGAATAATTTAGGAATATCTGGTCTCACTGTTTGTTAAGTATCCAAAATGATCTGGAAATTTTAGTGAATGAAAATAATATTGAAAGTATGTATAAGCTTTAAATACTGGAAAGGAGAAAAGAAAATTATTATATTTTATATAAACTGTTAATTACTTAGAAAATCCAAGACAGATAACTAAGAAACTTCTAAGACCACTCATTAAGTAGATCCAATTCAAAATATCTATACCATGGTAAGCACTAGCAATAACCTACTAGCTACTGTGCTTTCAATATTTATTTAAGTTATGCCTTTTAAAAATTATAACATTCCTCCAAGCATTTTTAATAAATTTTTTCTAAAATAATATTAAAAACTAAACAAAGAGGCTACACTGCTGAAGGAAAGTTATTATTATAAAATAAATGTATTGAAATTCGAAGCAAAATACCTATAGGGTATTTTTTGATTACTTAAAGTTTTACCTTGAAGAATAACTGGTTAATACTATCTAAGATAATTTTAAAAAGGAAGAATAAACAGCAGAAGTTGCACTGTTAGATATAAAATTATACTAGTTAAATCTTACATCATTGGTACAGTGATAAATGGATAAGGGAAAGTAATAACTTCAGAAACACACCCATACATACAAACACACATAGTATATAAGTTTTTCTATAGAGTGATATTTTCTAAATTTTCTACAATGAGTATCTATTTTTTTTCTTTAACTACATGTTCACAAAATCTTGTCTTCAAGCATACCACTCTCTGACCTTTATCTCCTGTCTTTCTAGCTCACATACTCTGGAAGCCCCAATTTAACCATGCTTTCAGATCAACCACTATGTTTTACTGTTTATTATGCTCTTTATATACTCACTTCCCTGTTTATCCAGCTTAGATTCCACGGTGCAGCATCATAAATGTAACATTTCAAAATGTCTATCCTTATGCATTCTCTAAAACAAGTTACTTTCTGAAATTCTTTATGCTGATAACTATTTTAAAATTCTATATCCTTTTATTCAATTGCAATTAGACACATATCTTTTCATTTATACACACAATTCATATCCCTTCAAATTCCTTGCCACATCTTTCCATTACACTCACTGAAAAAAAATCCAACATTATTTCAAGCCAACTTTCCTTTTATTCTGTTTTTGCATAGCAGCAACTGAGTTTGGCTAAGGAAAAAGAAAATTATGACTGGTCTTACAAATATTAATGACTATAAACTCGATTGGACCTATAGTCCTTGCATATTAATTATCTATGATATGCTTTTCCTTCCTCCTACACTCCTGATTTTTTTCATATTGTTTCTCCTTATACTTTCATCTATATCCTTTCTCACACTGAATAATTCTCTCTTTGATGATAGAAGCAATCAGACCAGAGCCACCTCATCTTCCTTCCATCAAATCAGTCTATGCATCTTTGTATGGATCTATGTTCTTCCTTTTGTCCTATTTTAAGGGTTGGAATATCTGGGTTTCTATCCAAGGCCAGCCCTTTCTTTTTATGCATTGAACCACACTTCCTCTCTTGTTACTCTTGAATCATTGATGTTTTACTTTCTGTAAGATTGCTGCTATTGACATATAAACATGCTGTATCATCTACTATTTGAAAAAGAAACAGCTAGTTACAGTCCAAAGTTTTTGCTTTTCTTTACAATTTTCATGATCTCTTTAGCCATTACAATCAGTCTTTCTTTTTCCTGAAGCACTGATAAATAGTTCTGTCTCTCACATCTACTCTTCCATCTTTCCAAATCCAATGGTCAATTCTCATTTTTTATTTTACTTGAACTTCCTGCAGCATTTGACATAATTGTTCACCTTCTTCTTTCTTGGAACATTTTTTTTTTCATTTGGTTTCAGTGACAATCATATATTTCCAAGATTTTCTTTTGCTTCATCAATCTTTTCTTTATTGCCTTCTTTTTTTTTATCCTGATGTCTAATTTTTGCAGCTCACCAATTGATCTTATCTAGTTCCATAGCTTTAAGTATCATTTCTTATTCTTTCATGAACTTTAGACTTATGTGGATAATTTTTTATCAAAATCTTTATCTCCATGTCCATCAACAGATGAATGGATAAAGAAGACACACACACACACACACACACACACACACACTGGAATATTATGCAGCCATCAAAAAAACCGATATCTTGCCATTTGCACCAACATGGATGGGACTAGAAGGTATTATGCTAAGCGAAATAAGTCAATCAGAGAAAGACAATTATCATATGATCTCACTGATATGAGGAATTTGAGA